GCGTTCGCCCGACGCAGCGGCACGGGCTGGATTCGCGCCACCATCAGGTGGCAACCAGGCTCGGTTTGTGGAGGACGACCAATGGAGAGCAAACATGTTGCCAAAAAAAATCCAGATGCCTAGACAGCGTGTTAAAACTGGGTGAAACAGGTAAACAAAAAACAGGTTGAAATATTTTCATGACATGTTCCTGCATTTTAACACATTCTGAATTCGATGATAGGACTGTTAGGGTGTCCATTGTCGTGGCACCCACAAGGCTCGGTGCCCGACGGGGCTCACTCTCCGAGGGCCCTGGGCGACGGGCATGATCACCAGCGCCTCTGCGGCGTCGTTCTCCAGGTCCCTTGCCGCCTCGCGCCCAGCACAGCAGGCTGGCAGCTCCTCTCGGGCGGCGACCGCCAGCGCACGCCGCGCCGCCTCGCGCGGACCGCGCGCCGCTGTGGCCAAGCAGGGTGCCCCACGGGAGGCGAGCTTCGGGCGCTCCGCCAGTCAGACAGGCACCCGCGCCCCCACCCAGGGCCCCGCCGCAGCGTCCGCCCAAGGACCTGCCGGCCCCCCCCAACGCCCTGTTCGACCTCAACAAAGCCGTGCTCAGCGCTTTCGAGTCGGCTGGCGACCGCGGCACCCGGCTCTCTGGCCTCGCCAGGGGAGGACGCCTCAGGGCAAGGGTCTTCGTGGCGTGTTCGCACGCCTGCGCCGAGCTGGTCACCATGTCACCCCAGGCTCGGACATCTCCATCGCGTCCGCGAGCAAGGACGCGCTCGGGTAAGCTGTCGTTAAGTTTCCGGCAGCCTGGAAGGACCCAGGCCCAGCTATGGTGTTCATTCGTCGCTGGTCGGCACCCAATTCAATTGCCCCCCTGCGGCATCACCCTAACGGCTTGTCACTCCCCCTCTCAACCGTCTACGGCATCGGAGGCGCCCCACGGACAGCATCCCGGGTCCGGGCATCCCCCCAGATTGATTCCCGACCCCCCTTTATAACGAGATCCTCGACTGGACCAAACAGATCGCCCCCTGGCCTAAGACCGACCCGACCTTCAAGGAGAATTGGGATGCGTTTCTCGACGCCGCGGGCCATACGCCACACCCTTGACAGCGACATCAGGCTGGTCCCCATCCAGAGTGTGTTTGCGTTAGTGTCGGTGTGTGTGTGTGTGTGTGCTTGTGTGTGTGCGTGTGTGTGTGTGTGTGTGTGCGTGTGTGTGTGTGTGTGTATGTGTGTGTGTGTGTGTGTGTTGTGTGTGTGTGTGTTGTGTGTGTGTGTGTTTTGTTTGTGTATGTGTGTGTGTGTGTGTGCGTGCGTGCGTGCGTGCGTGCGTGCGTGCGTGCGTGCGTGTGTGCGTGTGTGCGAGTGCGTGTGCGTGTGCGCGTGTGCGCTCCCGCAGAGGACCGCCAGCTGCTTCCGAAGAGCTGCCCGCCGGCCCGCGGGCAGGTCTGGCCACGAACCCTCGCGCGTCCTGGGCGGCACCGCGGGGGTCAGGACGGAAAAAGACACAGACACAATGAATCGTCGACCCCCAGGAAAATGTGGGAAAAGATGGGAAGTGGTGGGGAAGACAGAAACCCCGAAGATATGGGAAATTGTGGGGAGTATTTCTATGTGTGTGTATTTATTTGTGTGCCCCAGGGCCCCTTGAGGGGGCGCCGACGGCACTCCTTGTTATCAGCCTCTAAGAGGGGCCCCGGACTCCGAGAGGTCGTGGGGTGCGTCGCAGAGGGGGGGGAGCTCTGCTCCTGGCCCGCTCCGCACCGCACCCGCAACGGGCACCAGGGGGCCTCGGGGCCTCCTCCTCCTCCTCCACCTCCTCCTCCTCCTCCTCCTCCTCCTCCTCCTCCTCCTCCCCTCCTCCTCCTCCTCCTCCTCCACCTCCTCCTCCTCCTCCTCCTCCTCCTCTTCCTCCTCCTCCTCCTCTTTCTGCTCCTCCTCTTTCTGCTCCTGCTCCTGCTCCTCCTCCTCCTGCTCCTCCTCCTCCTCCTCTTCCTCTCCCGCGCGGAGCAGTGGGCACGCCCTGGGGCGCCAGCACCGCGCGCACAGATCTCGGCACCGCTCGGACGTGTGCATTTTTTTGTCTCGGCGAGAACCATCGAGGACCATCCTGGACCCTCAAGCAAAACAAGCACGCACGAAACCGAAAAAGGCACGGGAAATGGACGTCCGAGCGACGGCAAGAGATGGCCCAGCGGCCGTCCCACATCGCCCGGGTCGCGGGGCACGTCGGCTCACCCTGGACGTGCGCTCGCACCAGCGAGGGCGCTCGAGCAGAAGGCTTTCTATCGAGGTAGCCGCCGACGACCGAGGCAGCAGCGATGCATACTGTGAAGTCGGGCCTGTCCCTCTGCAGGAGGAACACTTGAAACTAGTCAAAACAGGGGACGATTTTTACCTAACAGCGAAGACTGATAGGTTTCTAGTAGTGTCAAAAGAGAGCATCTTGACTCCCCAGGGGGGTCTGGGCGGGTGCCGGGGAGAACCCGCGGAAGTCGTTTTAAGCAAACAGTTACACACTTCGTGGTCTTCGAGGTCCCAGAACTCCATTCCCGGGCCACATTTTGAATGCCCGGAGCCAACTGTAGGCCACTTCGTGCTCTTCGAGTTCCCAGAACTCCATTCCCGGGCCACATTTTGAATGCCCGGAGCCAACTGTAGGCCACTTCGTGCTCTTGGAGTTCCCAGAACTCCATTCCCGGGCCACATTTTGAATGTCCGGAGCCAACTGTAGGCCACTTCGTGTTCTTCGAGTTCCCAGAATTCATTCCCGGGCCACATTTTGAATGCTGAGGCAGGCTGATGCTGAGGCTGAGGCAGGCTGAGGCTGAGGCAGGCTGAGGCTGAGGCCTGAGGCTGAGGCAGGCTGAGGCTGAGGCTGAGGCTGAAGCAGGCTGAGCAGGCTGAGGCTGAGGCAGGCTGAGGCTGAGGCTGAGGCAGGCTGATGCTGAGGCAGGCTGAGGCTGAGGCTGAGGCTGATGCAGGCTGAGGCTGAGGCAGGCTGAGGCTGAGGCGAGGCTGAGGCTGAGGCTGAGGCTGCAGGCTGAGGCTGAGGCAGGCTGAGGCTGAGGCTGAGGCTGAGGCTGAGGCAGGCTGAGGCTGAGGCTGAGGCTGAGGCAGGCTGAGGCTGAGGCTGAGGCTGAGGCTGAGGCTGAGGCTGAGGCTGAGGCTGAGGCTGAGGCTGAGGCTGAGGCTGATGCAGGCTGAGGCTGAGGCAGGCTGAGGCTGAGGCCGAGGCTGAAGGCAGACTGAGGCTGAGGCTGAAGCAGAGGCTGAGGCTGAGGCTGAGGCAGGCTGAGGCTGAGGCTGAGGCAGGCTGATGCTGAGGCAGGCTGAGGCTGGCTGAGGCTGCAGGCTGAGGCTGAGGCAGGCTGAGGCTGAGGCCGAGGCTAGGCTGAGGCTGAGGCTGAAGCAGGCTGAGGCTGAGGCTGAGGCAGGCTGAGGCTGAGGCAGGCTGATGCTGAGGCTGAGGCTGAGGCTGAGGCTGAGGCTGAGGCTGAGGCAGGCTGAGGCTGAAGGCTGAGGCTGAGGCTGCAGGCTGAGGCTGAGGCTGAGGCAGGCTGAGGCTGAGGCTGAGGCAGGCTGAGGCTGAGGCAGGCTGAGGCTGAGGCCGAGGCTGAAGGCAGACTGAGGCTGAGGCTGAAGCAGGCTGAGGCTGAGGCTGAGGCAGGCTGAGGCTGAGGCTGAGGCAGGCTGATGCTGAGGCAGGCTGAGGCTGAGGCTGAGGCTGATGCAGGCTGAGGCTGAGGCAGGCTGAGGCTGAGGCCGAGGCTGAAGGCAGACTGAGGCTGAGGCTGAAGCAGGCTGAGGCTGAGGCTGAGGCAGGCTGAGGCTGAGGCAGGCTGAGGCTGAGGCTGAGGCAGGCTGAGGCTGAGGCTGTGACTGCGACTGCCGTTGCCACTGCGACTGTCATCGCGAATGCGACTACGACTGCGAGAACAGCAGAATTCTACAACTTGATTCTCATCTGAATCTTAAGGGGAATGCTTCCAGATATGCTCCTACACATCGCTGTTAGGTTGCTTTGCCGGGATAATCTGACTACTTTTGCATCTGGTTTGTGCATTGTTTGAATATGCAATACTTTCCTTCCAAAATCCGCCTGCTGCAGGGGGGCCATGCCCGACCTAAGCATACTGCGGCCGTCCCGTCACCGAGGTCCTCCTTTTGCCAGCGGATGCCCTTTCCAAGTGGGCCGGACGCCGTCGCCAGCCACGGCATGCGCACCTCCCCGTCTTGCCCCCGGCCTGCACCCGCACTGTGCGCCTCGTCGTCGCCCTCTGGGACGGTCTGCTGGGCAGGGGTGGACCTGAACGGTGTATTAGCGATCTCGTGGGCCGTTTTCGCTTCGACTTCGTTTTGCGGTAGAGGCGGATTGAAGACACAACGAGGGATAACGAAAACAACACGAAAACGAAAAACACCGCTTAGGTTCAGCCCTGCTGCTGGGAGCCGGCGCCGCCACCACCGGCCGCCTCGCTCACCAGCGCCGCCGTGGCCGCGGCGATCTTGGAGGGCACCGTCGGCCCATGCGTCGTCGACCTTCTCCTCCTCCTCCTCCTCCTCCTCCTCCTCCTCCTCCTCCTCCTCCTCCTCCAGGGCGGCAGCAGGGCGGGGCGCGATGTCGACGAGAGGTACACAGTTGTTCATGTCTAATTCTTCGAACCTCCTTTGTTTTGTTTGGGGGCCAAGATCCTCTCATGTCTGATTGTTCCATCCCGGGCCTCTCCCTGGCCAGTAGGGGGCCAGGGACAATTAGAAACGAGCACAATTAGAAACGAGCACGATCAGAAGTGAACGCCTTGCAGAGCGGCAGGTGCAGGCCGCGTGAGCATCCCCGGCGCTGTCTCGGTGACGGGCGCGCTGTTCTGCGCGGCGGGCGGCACAGGGATTGAGGCAGACGGGTATTCTGTTGTGTGTGTGTGCGCGTGGCGCTCACGTGCTCGGAGGAGGGTGTCGGGTTGGGGGTTCGGACAGAGTGCACATGACTAGCTTGGGTGTCCCCGTTGGCTCAAGATGTGGGTGTCCGCGCTGTGCCGCCCAGCAGCCATGCAGACAGCAGGGCATGGATTTCGAGGGCGAGGAGGATATACAGGGGGGATGCGTCTGATGCCTCCTTGGTTGTTTTACCGCAGTGGGTACGTGTTGAGGCAGGATGAGGAGGTGGAAACGGGCATGGGACGGAGAGCAGCAGCAGTTGCAAGGACGGCAGCTGCAATAGAGAGTTTCACGATGCATGATAGGCGACCAGAGGAAGGATACCCCGAGCCAGCAGTGACCTCGCCCACGAAGGCGCTCGCACAGCAGCTGCGGACCACCTGCCATGATGGACGTGGCCAGCCACGAGTCTCCCAGGGCCCCGAAGCTTGTATTCGAGTGATGAAATCGTTCCCCCGCCCTCCAGCCTTCTCCTGCTCCACCTCATGCCCCATCGTCCTCCTCTCCTCTTCCTGCTCGCCTCTCTCCGCCTCGTCCTCCTCCGTCACGCTCCGTCCTCCCTCTCCGCAGAGTCTGTAAAGACCAGCACCGCCGGCACGGACCGCAGGAGGGCCAGCTGGGCGGGGGCTCGCACGGAGAGCCGTTCGACCTCTGGGGCCTCGTGGGGCAGCACGGCTCGAGCAAGTGGGCAGAGGCTGAGGGCGCCGCCCACCCTGCAGAGGCCGAGGAGCTCGGCCTGGTGGAGGCCGAGGACCCGGCCGAGGGCGCCGCCGACCCGGCAGAGGCCGAGGAGCTCGACGTGGTGGAGGCCGAGGACCTGGCCGAGGCCGCCGTGGACCTGGTGGAGGCCTGCGACGCAGAGGCCGAGGGCGCCGTGGAGGCCTGGGACGTGGAGCTGCACCCCCAGGGCGACGGCGCCCGCGGCCCGCAGGCGGGCGCGTCCCGCCGCCCGTGGACTCCCCCGCGGAAGCCCGGGGCCTCTGCGCCGGTGTCGGCGAAGCGGCGCCGCGAGCTGCCTCTGCGGGCAAAGGCCGGCGGCTCGACGAAGGGCGGACGAGGAAAAGGTACCGATGTCGATATTTTGTCCTCGTCGTTATCGTTGGAGTCGCCTTGGCATCCTGGTCAGAACGCTGTTTGTTCTGTTTCCGGGGATGGGGCCCTGTGCGCTTGGACGCCAAGGACAGGAATGATGTCCCAGGCTGAACCCTCACTTGCTGAGGCCTCCTCTCTGCATAGGCCCCGTCCCCTTCAGGGCTCCATCTTCGCAGCGCCCGCAAGGGCCACCCGCCGGCGCCTCCCGGCGCTGCGCCCGCATGGCTCGAGGAGGGTGGCTCGCCGCCCCCGCCCGCGCCGGGCCTGCGCATCGCGCCGCAGCCGAAGCCCAGGGCGCGCCCCGCCGCCGTGCTGAGCGAAGGGGCGGGCGGCGGAGCGGCGGCAGGCGGGGCCCTGGGCAGCAGCCGGCCGAAGATGGCGCCGCCGCCGCCGTGCTGGGGGCCGGCCAGGCGCGGCCGCGCTTCACTGCCGGTTCGGGCAGGTCGCAGATTTTTGATGCAGTCGGAGACTCCTCACGCCATCAGGAATCAGGAGCCAGAAATCAGGCGGTTCAGGAAGAGGAGGAGGCGGAGGAGGAGGAGGCGGAGGAGGAGGAGGCGGAGGAGGAAAGGGAGGGGGAGGGGGAGGGGGAGGGGGAGGGGGATGGGGGAGGGGAGGAGGAGGAGAGGAGGAGCTGGAGGAGGAGGAGGAGGAGAAGGAGCAGGAGGAGGCGGGGAGGAGGAGGAGGAGGAGGAAGTTCTTGCTAACGTTCTCCTCGCTTCTTGTCATCGCTTATGCTGGCCATGCCGTTCGCATTGTTGGCATCCACAGGCTGATATGTTTTACGCAGCTATCTGCGAAATAATAAAAAATTGCGCGCGCGGCCTGTCTCTCCCCTCGGCTGCCGAGGATGCGTGTGTACATATCTATATATATATATATATATATATATGTATGTACCTCGGGCCGAGGGGCCCGCCGGCGCGGCTGCAGAGCACGATTCGCCAGCGGTTTTGGCTGGCTGTGTTGCGGAAGCCTTCCGCGACCGGAGCTGCCTAGGCCACCGGCCGCGGCAACGGCTGCGACGCCCGAGCACGAGGGCGGGCCTGCGCCCATGCCCAGGGCGATCTCGCCGACGCCAGCCGCAGCCGCCCAGCCGAGAGCGGCCGCCTCCAAGCAGCCTCGTGAGGCCGTCGACCCGTCGGTCGCCCCACCTTCCGGGAGGCGATCCAAGACGGACGGCATCCCCGAAGATGCCCCGCTGCTTGATCACCGCGCCCGACGACGCCGCCACTGAGAGCGTCGCGTCCCGGGGACTTGCTGGTGAGTTCCACGGGGAAGCCAGTCCCACGCATTCGCTCGCGAGAAAGGTTCGCCGCACTGGGTCGCAGCAGGACGGTGGGGGCCCCGTCGGGCGCTTCGACGCCGGCGGCGCGAGCGGCGCGCTCGACTCGAGCGCGTCGAGCATGCGAATTGGGGAGCGCGCAAACTTCCGCCCACATCGCACCCTTCTCCCTTCTCCCCGAGATCTGCTGCCCCGGGGGCCGAAGTCGATGCTGCCCCCACTGCAGCCTCCTATCCCTCTACTTAGACAGCGCCCCTCGCAAGCTCGCAACAGCGTGGCCCTGAGGAGATAGGAGCAGGCAGAGGAGATGAAACGCGAGGCCACGATTGGGGACAGGCTGGCGCAGGTCAAGGAACGCCAGGTGCTCGCGGAGGCTCTGCAACGATCTTCTGCATGTCTGCAGGCCGAAGCTGGTGGCGCCGCGATGATGCGAGCCCCGGAGGGCATCGAACGGACGCAGTTGGCCGCTGCTTCCGAGCAGGCTCAACGCGCGAAGGCCGAATTACGAGAGGGGGCCAGCAAGGCAGAGCCCTCTGCCGTCACCGAGAAGCGTGCCCAGGATCTCGGGAAGAGCATCGCCGAGGAAGCCAGGCGCGCAACCCGTGGGGCTGGCGAGCCCTGGGAGGCCGCTACCGCAAGGACGGAGACAAGGAAGGCCGACGACGCACGAGTGACCGCGGAGGCCCACGAAGCAATCCGAAAAGCCCAGGCAGACGGGGCAGTCGCCGAGGTCGCCGCGCAGAAGGCCGAAGCGGAGAGCACGGAGGCAACGAGTCAAGCCGAGGTTGCCAGCGGGCGCAGGCGTTCGCCAGCGCGGCCAGCGCGCTCTGTGCTCGAGTAGCAGCCGAGGTTCGAGCAGCCCAGGGGAGGACCGAAGAGAGCGAACGGCAGGCGAGCAGGGAACCTCGTGCTGCGGCTCGTCACGTCAAAGAGCTTCACTGGGGACGCGCAGAGCGACGCGCACGGCAAGGGTTGCAGCAGGACCTTTCTTCGGCGAGCTTTGGATCGACGAAGGCCGCGGCGACGTCGGCAGCCCCGCGGTAAACGACGGGGCCAAACGTTGTACGTGCCACGTCCCGCTGCGGGCTGTGGCGTCACGCGCGTCGACTGTCCGCCGAGTACGACTGCGTCCGCTGCAGCAGCCTCATTGCTCTCTGCATGTTAGCATTGCGGAATGGAGGTGTGCCGTGTGCCGTGAGGAAGTAGAGAAGCGGAGGAGACAGTGACTCGGCGGCGGCTCGAGGAACGCATCGCGTCGCAAACCGCACCCGGGGAATGGCTGGTCGATTGCCTGCCAGCGCGAGAGGTGTCTCGCATTTCTGTTGCGAGCGCGTCGGAACAGGCGCAACCGCTAGAACACAAGACCGAAGGTGAAGACTTGACATAGCCAAAGCCGATGGTGAACACTTGACATAGCCCAAGGCCTTCGAGGACAATGCGAAAGCTGGGCACCGACGATTCACCGAGCTGCCCACGGGCGCGATGCGAGGCGCGAAGAGGCACGTTGAAACGAAGGCGTTGGAAACGGAAGAGAATGCCTGGAGGCTGGAATTTCGGGTTGAGAATCGGGCTGAAGCCGAGACCGCCGCTGATGCTCGGTGCCAGGAGGAGGAAGAGAGGCACCGATTCTATAGGCTGACGCCACATCCGCCGACCCCTATATAAACTACTGCGTCTCCAGGACTGCATGTCACGAGGCTTGTCCGAATCATGGCACGGCGCTCGGCATCGTTCCTGTTGCTTCGTTGCTGTTATCGTATCTCTTGGTGCTCTTTTGCGGCCTTGTGGTGGCATCTTGGCTTGTCTGCAGGCCATATCCGGCCGCCTCGAGGCATCTTGGGCCAAGTTTTGGGGCCTCTTGGGGGCTTCCTGGGGGCTTCTTGGAGGCCTTTGAGGTTCTCTTGGGGGCCCCTCAGGGCCTCTTGGTCTGTTCTTGGAGCGCTGGGGGCGTCTTCGGGCCGAAGGCTCGAAAAGGTGCCCTGTGGGCTCCGTCTTCGAGACGTATGGGGGCCTTCTTCGGTTGTCTTGGGGGCTACGGGGGCTGTTGTTGGACCCTCTTCGACCCTTCTTGGGGGCCCCTTTGGCCGTCTGGGGGCGATATTGGATGTTTCTTTGCCCGTCTGGGACGTTGTGAAAACCGAATAGGCGAGCGTGCGTTGGTGCGCTTGTGGCCCGTTGTGGCGGCGTGTTTTGCGAGCGCCTTGCGCGCTGTGCACCCGGGTGCGGGGTGTGTCCTTCTGGGAGGTCGGCCTTTCGACCCGCAACCAAGTGGAGGAGCACCGGAAGACGAAACGATCAACAGTAGCGTGCGGAAGTTGTGATCAGCGAGGCATCGCCGCGAAAGATGTGGCAGATGAGTCGAAACTGGTGAAGAGGCTGTTGACGTTCGCAGCGCGCACGAAGCAGTTCGCGCGGCAGCAGCACATTAGCGCCGAGCAAGTGAGCACGTCGCGAGGAAGAGTAAGGCTGTATGCGCGGAGTGCATTGCAGTTGGCTTGACGGCTCGCAATGCGGAAGCGTCTGGGGGTCTTTCGGGGGCCTCCTGGGGGCCTCTTGGGGGCTCCTTGGGGCGTCTTAGCGGCCTCTTGGGGGCCTCTGGCGGCCTCTTGGAGCAGTCTTGGCCCCCCCTGGGGCTCGTGGGGGCGGAAGGCTAGATTTGTGAATTTTTGGTTGCCCTCTTGGGCCCCTCTTGGTGCCGTCTTGGAGCCTTCTTGGGCCGTCTTGGGGGCCTCTTGGGCCGTCTTGGGGCCATCTTGGGCCGTCGTGGGGCCGTCTTGTGGGCCTCTTAGGCTGTCTCGGGGAGGTCTTCGGGGCCTCTCGGGCCGTCTGGGAGCATCGGAAAACCCAGAAGGGGAATTTGTGAAACGATTACGATTTACGAAGGGAATGGGTAATTTTTCTGCGTCTAGGGACCCTCTTGGGACGCATCGTGGAGGCCCCTTGGGAGCGGGCGTCTTGGGCCAGCTGGAGGCCATCTCGGGTGTCCTCAATCGCTCTTGGACCGTGCGGGAAGGATGGGGGGAGCGGGAAGGGCTCGTTGCCATATTCGGGGGGGGACAGACCTCCTACCCTGACACGTCGATTAGCGAATTGGCCGTCTTCGGTTCGCCAGAGGGCGTCGCGGCTGTCATTTTTATGGGTCCAGGTCCGTCGGTTTTGGTCTCAGGCCGTTTTCACTACAGGGTGGTTTACTAAAGGGAGGTCTGTCCACCGCCGACATGGCCACTCGCCCCAAGCTGGGCAACGACACGGCCCTGATCCGGGAGCGGAGTCCTAGTCGGGTGGGCGAGGGGGCAATTGATTCGGAGGAAAGTGGGTTGTGATGAAAGGCCGAAGGGTACCAGGCACGCGTCGCCAAGACGTCGAGCGGCTAGGATAATTTGATCCTCGGAGAGGGCGGTTGCATTGTCGCTTCACGGACAGCGCATGGTTCGGCGTTCCGCCGAAGGCCCCAGCGGCGGCGTCCGCACGGTTGCCCCGCCCCCTTATCTGGCGTTCTCCTCGCGCTCCTCGTGGCCCCGTGGGGAGTTCCGCCGATCGCCTCAGTGGCAGCGTCCGCGCGGTTGCCCGCCCAGTGCGGCGCACCCCTGACACGGCTCGTGTTCCCATATGGCTGGCGCCCCACCGAAGGCACCAGTGGCAGCGCCCGCATTGCCACGTGCCACATTTCGGCGCACCCTTCGTGCGCTTCACGGCCTCACAGGGACTTCCACCGGAGGTTTTGGTGGTTGCGTTCCCATGCGGCCCCGCCCCATTTCGGCACACCCCGCGCAGGTTTCGTGGCCCCATGGGGAGATCAACCGAAGGCCCCAGTGGCTGCATTCGCATGCGGCCCCGCCCAATTTCGGCTGACCCCTCACACGCTTCGGGGGCCCATAGGGATCTCCACCGCAGACCCCAGTGGCAGCGTCCACATGGTTAATTACCCGCCCCATTTCGGTGCACCCCTCGCGCTTGGTGGCACTCCCTTTTGCGATGTGAGTCGTGAGGGTACGTGCG